TACAAAAATTAGCTGGTCTTGGTGGTGCGCACCTGTAGTCCTAGCTACTCAGGAGGTTGAGGCTGAGGTCAGAGAATCACCTGAACCTGGGGGGCGGAGTTATCCAAATTCTCCAGAAATATTTAACTCTCCAAGGAACTAAATTTTTGAGATAAACTAGTGAATATTAATAAATTCATGAGACAGACATAGCTTTCTATATAATTTTTAGCATTTTGTCTTGTAAATAGTTTCTATTTATGTTAATAAACAAATCAGGTCAATATACCATAAATAAGAGTTAGGAACCTAACAAAGAGCACTTCATTTCCAGGAAAGTTATCAATTCTCTTAACATTAACATCTCTGAAACACAAAGGATGTAAGAAATTCATGATGTAATAGGTAAAACTTTGTTATAAAAAACAAAAAAAGGACTCATCTTAAGGGTAAAGGCTCAGCATCACATTTTAACCAGGTTACACATTCATAAGTAACTCAGACCCTGCAACTGTAGCTGGATTAAGATGGTGCCTCTTCTTGAGTCTAGTTAATACGCTGAATGACCAGAAAGGTAGAAAAACGACCCTAGAAAGGCAACATTATCAGCTGGCATGGTGGTGCATGCCTGTAATACCAGCTACTCGGGAGGCTGAGGCAGGAGAATTACTTGAACCAGGATCCAGAGGTTGCAGTGAGCCGAGATCATGCCACTGCACTCCAGCCTGGGCTGCAGAGTGAGACTCTGTCTCAAAAAAAGAAAAGAAACGAAAAGAAAAGCAACATTAATTCTCCTTCTAGAGTCTGGTGGAGTCTCCCCATCTTGCATTCCCCCTCGGCAAGCTATCTACCTCTGCCCACCCTCCAAATGACTCCACCTGGGAAAGAGGGGTGAGGAGGAGTTGGGGGCTGGGTGGAATCCTGCCAGCTGGTGAAACCCTGTGGCAGGAAGGTCTATGTGGACAGAGTATACCTTTTTTTCTACCACTGACTGCATGTGAATGACAATAAAATTGCTGGAGTCAGCTGTCGTCAGAAGCTATCAGTGATGAAGGACTGAGCCACACAGTCTAAGTAGGATGTGTATCACGACTCTCAGTGGGAACTGGGCAACACGGAGAAGTTTGTGGTCTTATTGATTTACCGAAATGTCTTGGACTTTCCTTTTCAACTGGTTCCTCCGTTGGGCCCAAACGTTGGGAGTAGGAGACAATATCCCAGGCTCACAAGGGTTTGCACTTTATCTTGGGCACCTCATTGCTTTCAGCCTGTGCCCTTTCTCCACCTTTGCCCTCCCAGTGCTTGTATGAGGGAAGCCCATGTCAATTCCTGCGACCCATTGGTCTCGAACCAAGGATAAGCGTCTAGTCTCTGCCATGACTGTGGGATATAAGGCCCTTTCTTACCAGTCTGGTGCCCACCCCACACTGTACCAGACACTGAACTCCTGGACCCCCTCCTCCTTCCCTTTATTCCCTCTTTCCTTCAGGTCCCTTAGCCCAGTGCTGTATCCACCATTACAGAAACCTAAGTGTTTGTACTCTGCTGGGTTTGGGGACACAGGGAAGCCTTGGGGTCAAGAAAAAGGTTGTTCTTTTTTTTTTTTTTTTTTT